TATATTAATCTGACAGTGTCAGTTTTCAAAATTCAGTAAATGATTCAAGTACAAACCATTCATAACTAAGGTGTCGAAGTGAAACAGTTCGATTTAATTCCCCTACATTCTAAAGAAGTTATATGGCGGTAGTTAAAATTAATGTGCTGTCGGCTACCCATTGAATTAATTAACGAGCAACAAAGTTTAAAATAGGCATGGACATTTAATTCATGGCCCGCAATATGTTACCTACTTTCCTCTTAAGGGCGAACCTTAGTGGTGGGTCTTTATGTAAATTAAATTAAGTCGTATTACTTACTAATTTAGCGACCTTGATGACCGTCTGATTCATCATTACATTATCATGCATTATATTTATTACATAAATTTTCTAGTACATTCACACACGCAAAAACATGTTTTGCCCTTAGGTACTCGTACATAATGAATAGAAACTTAATTTCTGGGATCGTAGGGAAGTAAAGGCGACTCTGTTTATTTTTACGAGATTTACGACCATATGTAATCAAATGTGACGTATAATTTTTTTTTTCAAGATCAGACTTAAAATATATGCACAAGTACAAATATTGATCCATGAATAAAATAAAATAATAAATCTTAAGAAAGATTGAGTAAGATTAAAGTCTCTATTACGTTTTAAAATAAAAAAAAGTATTAATAAAATAGCAAGAGTTGCATTTTTCCGTAAATTCTACATGGCCAGTAAATCCTGCAGCGGAAAGCTCATTAACACGGATTCATTTCACGCCATATTGGAAATTTCTCTCGTCGACTTTTCCACGCGAATGCGGCGTAGCCATCTTCTATCATTGCAGTTGAATTTAATATAAGTTTTTTTTCTTAAAGATGTTTGGAATTTATTATTTTTTTATATTACAATTTATTCATGAATTTTGCAGTGATTAGTAATATGATTACACACTAAAAACATGTTTTTTTTTTAAATATAATATGTTCTACAAACAAATCATCAGATGAATACCCCCCAGTTCATTTAGGGGCGCAATTTCCAAAAGTGTTTCAGAAGGGATTAGCTCAAGTAACTTCAAATCATTGATTTTGTTAAATTATAACAATTCACATATTGAAACTTCATAAAAAGTTATATATTAAGTTTATTTATATCTTAAATGGTTAATTTGACATTCGAGGATAAATATATTATTTTCTTCATTATGTACGTTACATAATTCAACAACACATACAATCATTTAATTACACTAATCCATTCCTTTGAAAGCGGAGTCAAAACGCATTCGAGCTTAATATGACCCGTACGGAAATTAGACATATAAGAGCCCATAAGGAAATTTGTAGTTATATATTATATAATTCGTTTGATGTAAGTGGCTTTGGTTTCACCTAGAATTAAGCTATTCTAATGTTTAATTAATTCCACAGTTGAAACCAAATTACTAAATCTGTACAGATTCGAAATAGTTAATAATATCATATAGTACAATAATAACAGCATATACGTGTGAAGGACTTCATTTGCTAAAATTTGAATTTAATCAAACAATGCACATACCTTAAACAATTTAAGGATTATCAATGAAATTTGGCTCGCCTGGTATTTTGTGTTTTAAAAACACCAATAGTATGTATCTAGTGTAGTGTATATAATACACTTACGAGAAGCGATAGAACGTCACCATCACAAACATAATCGACAGGTAGTTAGGACATAGTCAAATGTAAAAGACATCCATCATCATTATTAATACATACGGTATTGATACAGGGTTACATAATAATACAGGACAATATTACCAAAAACATAGACTAAGGAAAATATATATTGTTGCCTTCGTTGCATATAAATTGAGCCTCATTCAACAGTTAGAACATGTCTTAATCAAAATATTGAAGCATTAAATTATTTGAAGAAGATTTACTCCAAGTTATCTGATAATGTTTCACATATAGCATTTTATAAAGTAAAATAAAAGTTGCATGTAACTATTGCTATAAGAGCCGCTATATTATGATTATTGTGTATAATAAATAACAATAGGCCGCTCACTAGGCTTGACATGGACGAAAGACATAGTAAGTGACATAGAGCGTTATGTGACTTGAAGGAAAGAATAAGCTCTCTGCTTTAAAATATTAAGTTTTATTAACAAGTCGTTTTTTTATTAACGAAAAACAAGACCGACTTTAAATATGGCGCTTTGTATTCATTTTATAACTGATTTTCAGGAGTTCCCTACTTCCCCTGAATTCGGTTGAAAATAGAACAGCTCAGTGCTTCAAACGTTTCGCATTGTTATTCTTCGTTTGTTTTGTACTTGGACAGATATATAGGAAAAAAGTTGCCTAGTGATTCTTTATAGTATGGGTTTCACGATAAAACACAATATAAATAGGAAAAACCGAAGCTCCTACATCAAGTGTACCCTTTTGTGATTGGGATAAGTCAAAATTCGATTGATTTCGCCTGAGGTTTTGTTAGTATTTATTTTCTTAAAGAACTTTTTGTGTGTGTTTTTTATTTAAAGTTAGTACTGAAATTTTTTATGGTTCTTGACAAATAACAATTTTCTAACATGCTAAAAACTATTATCCAAGGGTATTTTATTAATTTTTATATTATTGTATTTTTTCTATATTCACTGACGCTTTAATAACAAAAACCAGATGTTGTGTGCTTTGAAACTTTCATTCCGATTAGCCAATATATTCAAGTAGAAACTTGATAGCGTTTTAGATATTCTGTGTATGTAATTGGGTAAATATATTTCCTTACATTTAACAAAAACATGTCATCATGTATGTACGTACCTTTATCTTTTCGTTGAACATTCTGTACGAATACATTATGCCTCCTAAGTGTATAGGTTATAACTTTCAAAATTTGTTACTAGTGAAGATTCTCTTTTGCACAAAATATATAGCGATCGATGTAAGCGTTCGTTGCGTACATTGTGGTGGATTCTGTGGATTCGCTTTATTGCAACTATTTTACATTTGTGCTAGTGGATAGGTATTGTGTTCCTTTACTTATGTTATTCTACTATGTGCAAGGAACGAAGGATATAATTTCTACGTACTCACATACAATAGCTTCATATTGAACAAAGGAACGTAATAACAACATCCCTTGCTTCAACATCAGCAAATTTATTTTAAGCAAACATCTAAGTTCTGGTTTCGAATGTTTGTTTGTTTTATTATATGCCTCTTTCAGTAGTAATGTATTTTTTGCGTATTATCAAGGCGCACGTTTATCAGAAATAAATAAAGAGGTAATAATAGACGACGATGTAATTATTATATCATTATAGCCTTTCCTTAAATGTATTAAATTATAAGAAATTTGTAAATTGACTATAAACATAATCTCAAGTTTCAATGTCATATGAAATTCGACGTAAGAGAGTTCTTAAAATTCAAAGTAAGAATACCGCCGAGAAATAATTCCCAGTCCGCAAAACTTGATAACCATGTATAAGCGTCGTTAGTCTCGCGGGGCTCCGGAAGGAGGCGATAACACCGTTTTGGTCTGTTATTATGAAACTTTGGTCACAATATGCCTCAAGCAAAAACAAAGATTTTACACCTTCATGTAATTTTACACAGTGTGAAACATTTTTAGGTATTGCATTATTTTAAGCTGAGAATTTCTTATACCTATTTAAACTGTCTTATAATCGCTCGTATGTTTTAGGCGATGATTAATATATTCAAGAAATTCTGGCATGAATTTTCAAAATTGTATTTTACAATGGAACCATTACAAAATCACATTCGTTGACGTTAATGTGTTCTGTCACATCGAGCCATTTGAAATGAGATTCCTGATTAGTTCATTCACCGAATTACAGACATTAATTATTAAACGATTTCGTCCTACGAATATGTGAATAAGTTTATTATATATGTACATTTAATGGGGGGCCGGTAAATAATAAAGTACTAAACTTTTTAACTGCGATTATCTAGCAGAAAGACATAGATGGTTATGCACCTCCCTCGCGCTTCAGCTTTAGGTTTGAGACGGCTTTTTCAGCATAACTTAGGTTTCCTGTTCTATGCTCAGTAGGATTCTACAAAGCTCACTCTACAAAGGCATAATTATGATTGAAGAATTAATCTAAGGCCTCAAAATTGGCAAATAGTTACTAAAGTTAGTTTTAAAAAAGTCTTTTGAGTCCTCCCAAAATTTGACTGGCACCAGATTGGAATATGCACCAACGTGGCTTAAACTATGACGTTTACAATTTAGCATTCAGCCATACTCTACAAAAAATACGGACCTCAATTCGAATTTAAAGTCGCATTCGGTCATTCAGATGCAGCAAATCCATTTAACGTTAAAATTCAAAAAGCTTATACAAAATTATCGTTTGTTAATGATAATGAAAAGCGCACTAAAATATTGTAGAAATAATAAGCAGACAAGACAGCTTACATTACAGAAAATCGAGGTGACCAGGAAAAACAGTGTTTCATAAAGAAAGATATAAATAAAAGGAAGAGTAACTTCAGGTTCTGAATGAGGTTTGAGGTCTGAGGAGGAAGGTTGATAGGAATATTCCCATTAAACAATAGTAAGAAAATAATAAAGCCTCAACAGCTGATATGATATTAGCGACGCATGTCGCACTTAAACCAAAATCACTTAACAGAAATCCGGGAATGCTGCCTGTAAAACAAACTCTAGCATTTACATAATTATATGGACAAAATTATAAGCTAGCAAAAATTTAAACTGGTTTACGTTTTGTTATTTCAGACTTTTCCCAATTTAAGTCGAAATAAAGCATGATCAAGGTAATCCTGATCAGTAAAATCACCATACTCTCCAAAATGATTAACAGTATAATTAATGTTACCAAATTATTAAACCAAAACTCATTAGTTATGGATACATGCCTCAAAAGAGTTGAAAGATTCTTAAAACAAATTATAACTAAAGAAAACAATTCGACAGAATCTTTCTTTATACTTTGATTGTATAGTATGTTGAAAAGTTAATTCCCTGGAAAATGAATATTACAAGGTAAGCGAAATAGAAACTACCTTAGTGTTAAGCAAGGGCCGTGTTTTGTATCAGTAAATTGTAATCTTTATCGAAGTTGCATTTAATATTGATATAATATAATGTCTAATTAGTTAGGAGATATAATAATTATTAAGATATAAGAAATTATCTCTGTAAAGTATGTATTACATAAAAAAACAGACAAGTGCCAGTCGGACTCGCGCACGAAAGGTACCGTACCATTATCTATAACGGCTAAATACTCATTTCTGTTGTATGGGAGCCCCACTTGAATATTTTCTATTCTGTTTATTAGTACTTGTTGTTATAGCGGAAGCAACAGAAATACATCATCTGTGAAAATTTCTATTGTCTAACTATCACGGTTCATGAGATAAAGCCTAGAGACTGATGAACAGACAGACAAGGAGATAGAAAGACAGGCACATAAACAGATAGACAGCGGAGTCTTAGGAATAGGGTCCTGGTTTAGTCTTTGGGTGCGGAACCCTAAAACAACAGAACTGTTTCAATTTTGAATTTCTGCTTACTGATAATTAGACCTATAATTATTTAGGAATGGTATATTCCTATTTTTCACAAGGCATTTATTGGCGAAAGGGAATTGTATTTTACTGACCGTACAACAGCGTTCTTTGTCACCGCAGGGTACCATTTCCTTAACACAAACGATAAGAGAGCGTTGTATAACGGGCCTAATCTGTGAGGAACAACTTATCAAGTACTTCAACATTGCAGACTCTGCAAACAGTACCCAATAAATCAAAAAGATATAAAATTACAAAAAATCGATGCCAAAAACTGGATATTGTTTACAAGACTTAAAATAATCCTTACTAAAAGACGCACAGATGAATTTGTCACATACCCAGTATTTGCAACATATATCACCATCCTGGATGAACCCTGTGAATTCTAATTTGATGAAATTAAGAATAAAGATCATCATACCTATACACATACAGATTTCCCGACGTGAAAGAGATCAGCTTAGACGAATTGAAATAGTTAATATTCTCCCTAAAAATAGTGCAGTATTTAATACTGAAAGTGAGATGAATACAGGAACGGATCCTAATGTTAGTGTTCTAGTTTACCGCCTTAGGTATTAGTAAAACTTTAGTTATTTTTTATTTATGCCACTGGAAAATTTATTCCTTTTAAGCCACCCTTAGTTTCAGGCCTCAAAATTGGCAAACACTCAATAGTTATTCTTAAATTAGTTTTTTTTTGACGTCATTTAAGATCTCGGCAAATTTAACTAGATACATACAGTATTAGATAGATTGTACTTATTAACACGTTTTTAAGAAAGTTAAAAACATATTCTTCAGCGTTCCTTTTCTCTTTTACTACTAATTTTGTTCTTAAGAATTTTTAGCCGTAGCAAAATTTTAGATATATTTACGCATTCATAAGTTTTGTTGAGGGAAAAATTTTTGTTTTTCTCAATATACAGCGTGTCTTTACAATCGCGACAATAAATGAACACACATATAGAAGTAACTTTTTAAAATTGTGTTAAACATTTACATTCTTTAAACATCAATATTTATCGAGTTATTAAATTTTAAAAAACAAAGAATTTTAGAACACCCATACGTATAAAACTGTAGCGTAAAGTTCATTTGTAAAGGTCACGAAGCATATGAATGGGTTAAATGAATTTAAAAGAGACAAAACATACTGTTAGAAGGAGAGGCTTCTAATGCGGGGCTGTGGTAACGCGCCTTTTTTTAACGTAAATATTTTTTTATGATTATTGGCAAGTAGCGTTAGACGTGTGTTCATTTATTGTCGCGGTGGTAACGACACGCTGTATCATAAGATAAAACGTTATTCCAATTTGGAACCTTATAACAATTTGGAAACTTAAGTCTACAGTATCTGGAGGACCGAGCTTAGCTCGGTTTTTTTTTTGGTAAATCATGTATTTTGGAAATAAAAAAAATTAAAAATAATGAAAGCAATGATCTGGTATAGAAAAAAGAGTAAACTCATTTTTGTAACTAGATAAATAGGACTTGATATTAATTATTTACAGTATAATAGTCGTAATTTTTTCGAAGCCAACAACGCTGCTTGTTTTTTAAAATAATACGATGCTTCCGATTACATCATATGTAAAATAATAATTTTGTTTGTCTAAGGTCATCTCATATCTATAATAACTCATTTGAAGCCAAGTGTTTTAAACATAGGGCGATAGGCACGTCGTAAAGTTGCTTTTTATTCGAATGTATGTTACAGGTTGAGATCTTTTTTTGATAAATCCAATAACTTCTTTCTAAGTTAAGGTTATATAATTAAAAAAAAATGTGTGTGATACAAATTACTGAGTAATGAAATATGCATAATGTTTTTCGATCTTACCGACGTAATAATAAGAAAATATGAACTGATGTTTTTCACCAAAGAAAGAACTTTAAAAAAAAAGGGAAAAAAAATAACAAAGTAACAAATCGACAAAAAATTAAAAATAAAGAAAGCAATGATCTGGAATCGAAAAAAAAAGTAAAACAATAAATGTGTAAATGATCGTGACGCGAACCCCGGCCGTCTGTTTTGGGGCCGCCCGATTACCGACCGAGCTATTATGACATTTTCTCTTGCGGCGAAATTTACCGTCATATTCGAATTATATTTTTCATTCCCTGAAAACTGGGATAAAATGACATTTTCTAAAAATGAAACCTAGTCAGTTCGATTTTTCGCCCCCGAATCTACGCACATACTAAATTTCATGAAAATCGCTGGAGCTGTTTCCGAGATTCCGATTATATATATATATATATATATATATATATACAAGAATTGCTCGTTCAAAGGATAAGATAACCTGAAATTATAAGTAAATAACAAAAAGTAGTAATGAATACTTTTTATGTAATAAAATAATAAAAAATATGAATAACGTAAAGGTTGTCGAAGTTGGTCGCTACAACTTCATCATGTCACTTTTGGCTGTCAATTAAATACTTTACAGCAAAAAATTTTATCCTCGTAATTTTTTCCAAACGCGCCAAAAGAAGTATAACTTCAAAAATAAATGTTGACATAAATATCATAATAACATTTCCAAAAGCACAACTTATTCAGAAACTCATTTTAAAAAAATGCACTATTACTTTAATAATTGCTTATTGATGCCTGAGACATAACACATTACACTTTACGATAATGATCAAAGCCAATAATTAATATTACCTCCCCGCTAACGCTCTTAACTTACATCTGTTTTCATCAATTGCGTCGCAATAGTGCTATGAGCATCACATCTTGAATAGTTCAATCGGTGACTGCAATCCTAGTAGCTTCATCAAAATGATCGCGGAAATTTTAATATTCATATCAACCATAATTATTGTTTATTTTATTTACTCCCTTAAACGTATACATTATTACTTCCAAAGCCGCGGCTTAAAGTACAATCCTGGAGTGCCCATTTTCGGTAACATATTGCGCAGTACTTTTCTTAAGAGACATCTTGTCGAGGACATCGATGCTATTTATAAGGAATTTCCTAATGAAAGGTAAGTTTACTAGATTTGTTTCTTTGCATTATTCTTTATATGTAATATATAATAGCAGCCAAAACTAGTTTATAATTATAAATATTTCACGGTTTAATTGATCGCCTTATCACTTACTATTGCACACCGCGGCGTGGCTTCGAAGCCCATACAAGACAAAAACATTTATAAGAAATTAAATAGTTTATCACACCAGGAGTATTTTGTGTCGGCACCTTTCATGTTCTTAAAACTTAATAATCCTCTATTAATTAAATGAAAAGACATGCTTTTTTAAAGCACATAATTTTTACAGGAGCCATGTGATTATCAACATTTTATTAATGTTTATTATTTTTATGTTTATTAACCAATATATGGTTTCTGTCAAGCGGTTATCAGGAGCCAATAGAAGTGATATTTGATATTTTTGCTACCTAAGATTGAATTGACCTTCTGTAATTTAATCGACGTTATATTTTATTATAATTGTAAAATTGCTCTGGATATTTTATTACATCCGGCAGTTTGGGGGACCATTATAGCGAGTTAAAGGTTTCAACGGATACGGTAGATTAGGTGTTTAAAATATTCATGGTCAACAACTTCTATGTTAAATAAAAATATTTATATCTAAACTGCAAATATTAAGGTCAAGATATGAATATTATTAATTAGGACAATAAATAAAAATATTTTGTTTTGAAATTTACACTAAATAACATTATTTTAAGGTATGTCGGTTACATCGAAGCTACAACGCCAGTGGTATTGATAAGAGATCCCGAAATAATTAAACACGTGACTGTTAAAGATTTCGATCATTTTGTAAATCACAAAGAATTCTTCCCCGTGGAAATAGAACCGTTATTTGGAGCCAGTCTACTGATGATGAAAGGTAAAATTAAGTTATTGAATAATAGAAAAAAGAAACATTTTATTAACAACTACAGAAACAAGTTATAACTACAGGTTCAACTTCAAAGGTCATGAAATGAAAAAATTGAATACAATAATAATGTGCATGTTTCGTTATTTTTGTATATAATATCTCTATGTATATGTTGCTAATTGTTTTCGAACAAACATACACTAACCGATTACCATTTTATCTCAATAAGGTGCAGTACACAAGAGCGATATATTCCACGTTTGACATACCTTTTTTATCTATCTTTGGTTTCAATCATGTTATTCGATTCTCCAATTCCAGATCCCGGCCTCCTTTGAAACATAACTTATCTGTTGAGTTAGTTTTATTCTAGGCATAAATAAATATTTTGTGTCAGCTTTGATTCCTTATTTCACACATTTCTTTCTCTCTATTTATCAAAACTTAATAATACATTCGTGTTTTAGAGGTATAAAAGCGTTCAAAGTTATCATTAATTTTATAATTATGTGCAAGAAGTTAAAGTTGAATAATCTCTGTAACCATAGACAATGTCCAATTTTAATATGAAAACAACCGCCTTTTTACAACTGTATATTATTGTAAATATTAACCTTAATTAGTGTTTTAATTGTAAGTCTTAGATAACGTTTCAGGTTAATGCACTTGAGTGATATACTTATAACATATTGATCTACGTTACTGGTGATAACTATTCGAGCGTTGATAGTAAAACTCATTAACCCTGTTGGTTTTTTTCGATTAAATGCACTAGAATTTGTAAGAATCCAAAGAAAAATACCTAATTAATTCCCTTATGTGATGTATTCAAATACTTTCTTTGTTTTCATTCATTTGGTATGTAAAGGAGTTTTATTGGGTCGATGCAAAACGTAAATTTTATAACTCTTGTTTTATTTGGAAACCAGATGACAAATGGCGAGATATGCGCACCACTCTTAGTCCGGCTTTTACTGGATCGAAAATGCGCCAAATGATGCCGTTTATGACAGAAATAAGCAATAACATTATTCAACAACTAAAAGGTAATCCAAATTGGTCAATTTAAGTGCATACTAATAAAAATTAAACCACGGAGACCATTGGTTATCTAGTTTTTCCGTAATTTGGTGGATTGTGTGACCGTGATTGTGTGTTCCGTAATTTGGTGGAGTATCCAATTACAACAGGTATTCGAGAATATATTTTTGTGAACATAAATAACGTAAAATATGTAGTAAAAGAAAAATAAATTTAATTGATGAATTGTAAGATATATTTGATAAATTAAAATTTTGACCCACAGATAATTGGATCTTGGTGTGTTTGTTTCCCAAGGAACCTTCCTTGGCGTCAGGCAGTCTCCTACCTGGTCGTAAAAAATATAGTCAAAACTGCTTACAACATGCATGTGTGCCGACCCCACTTAGGTGGGATAAGGGCAGGAGGATGACGATGATGTAGATGATGAAATAACATAATATGGTAGTAGTTTGTGCTCAATAGTGAGGGAGAAAGTAATGGAAAATGTATTTCAAAAATGTGTAAGCTCACTTGGCCAACTATGCCTTAATATAGAAAAGTCTCTGTATTGAGTAGATCTTCACTCAGTACTAGGATAATTTAAGTATAGACCCGGACACCGGACACCGGACAAACTAATAAATTTTTAACAATACTGTACTAACTGAAACATTTAAACGCCCATAGTACGTCCCATGGCCTGAATGCTGCAATAAAGGTGGATAACTTTGTTTTAAAATAATGCGACATTCGGTACAAATAAATTCATATCATACTTTTTATATCACCACTTTCATAAGTTTTAGGTGGCGATACAATCAACACTAATATGCGTTCTTATAATTATTTTGATCCATGTTTATCACTGGAATAAATAATTAAATATTACTTAGAGTTCTTTAATTAAAATATTTAATTAATACTACAATTAATTATTATTTTTCTAAACATTATGTCCGACTTTTTCACATCGAAATATTTTATTTGATAGGTCATATTTCGGAAGATATTGACGTACGCGATTTAATGCGACGGTACACAAATGATGTAATTGCGTCTTCAGCTTTTGGTTTACAAGTCAACTCAGTAAAGGACAAGGAAAACGATTTCTACAAAATGGGACAATCTCTGTTTGCGATGACACCGTTACAGCAATTAAAATTCTTTATTTCAAATCAATTTCCTTCACTTGCAAAGGTAAGTTACTTTAGCTATGAAATAAAATAAAATTAATTTAAAGAATACAAATTGGAATAAATATGTATAAACCTATGAAAATATGATGCGGAGATTATGGAGTTGTAATTAAGATTTTTACAGCGATAAATTTTATTTGACCTTCATTCAATGGTAGACCACCCCACAGAAGACCTGCGTAAAGTAAAAGTGTTACATTTCTGCGTTTCGTCTGGAGAGTGAGGTACTGGGGCCCAATTTATTTAAAGGTATTTAAAGGTGCAAAGGCAACGCATTTGCACGTGTTGCAAATATCCATGGGCGGCGGTTATCACTTAACAACAGATGAACCTTCAGCTCGTTTGCCACTTTCGCACATAAATCAAAGACTGGTATAAGTTGATGACGTAGACTGATATAAGATACTCGTATTTTTAAAGATATTTGTTTACAAATATAATTACACAGTTTTTAAAAGGGGTATGTGTATTCACTTTTTTCAGTTAATAGGCATTAAAATATTTGCCACAAAGTATACGAATTTCTTTGATACATTAGTGGCGACTACAATGGAGCACAGAGAAAAGAATAAGATTGAACGGCCAGATATGATACAGCTTTTAATGCAAGCATATAAAGGTAGCATCGTTTGTTATAAATTGTCATGTCTTTAAAAAGACGAGGTTTTCAAATTTGTTGAATGTTATTTTTTAGTTTTTCTGAATTCCGTGGGTTAGCTCCCAACTTGTTCCTATATTGTTTTTCAAAGACGCTCCTCAAAATCAAACAAAAATTATATATTGAATGAAATATTTACCTTGGATTTGATTTTTGTTACTAAGAATGTTTTAATTTTTAATGGCAAAATGAATACTTAAGTTTCAATTACATTTCTTTATTATATCGTATATATATTATATCTTTAACAGGTAATTTAAAAACAGAAGAAATAGATAAAAGAGATGACGTTATCATGGATGTAGAAAAGCTTAAGCGCCAAGGGGAAGTAAGACGTAAGTCGCTTACATAAAGACTTTATTAAAAATAGTTTCTGGGTTCGTATATTAGTAATACGGAGAGCCATATAAATTTTGATATTGAAAGTAATATAATGTTACCTCAGATTATTTCCAAGTAGCTTGCACTACGCTCACTTCAATTAAAATATTAGAGTAGATTTATAGAAATTATATAACCCTTTATTTTGTCTTTTTCAGAATGGTCTCAAAGAGAGTTGGCGAGCCAAGTGTTTATATTCTTTATAGCTGGATTCGAAACATCAGCCACAGCTTTGATAATGTGTGTACATGAATTAACAGTTAATCCAAAAGTGCAAGAAAAGTTGTATTTGGAGATTAAATCATTTCAAGAAGAGCACGGAATTATTGCTTACGAGAATATCAATGAATTGAAATATTTGGACGGTGTAATAAATGGTACCTCTTTTTTATTTTATTTTATTTAAACTTTTACACAAAAAATTAGCATTGTGTATAGGCGGACTTAACGCCTAAGGCAATTTAGTACAAAATAAGTTCATCCGCCGTGCAACCGGTGCGCAGTGGTATCAACGCAACGTCGATCTGCACAGCGATTGCAGACTCCCGACGATTCGCGAATATTTCAAAGATCTGACAAAACGGTTTTTCGATAGAGCCGAACATCATCCCAACCCTCTGGTGGTAAGCGCAGCAAATTACCAACCCGACACAAACGCGAACGTCAACAAGCGCCGCCCGCGAAACGTCCTCATCGACCCGGTCGAGGAAGGGGACTTAGATACGCCGGACCCACCGCCGGGGGTCCCGCCGGATAACACTACACCCACAGCTAGTGCAACAACAAACACACTAGTTCGCCCTCGCCTCCGAGCACGGCGAGACCAACACAACGCGTACACAAGGTACACCCGCGTTCCAGGGCGGTTCTCACTGCCCCCAGCCACCGATTAGCTAAAAACACAGTCGACGGCCATCGGGGTCTCGGTCCGCACCGCAACTTCGATGGCCCTTAGATGACATGTCGTAGTTAAACGCACGCATGAGCACATGCGCGGCCCTACCCACAGCGGAGGGCCCAAACCCGTGGGTTCTGGCTAGCCCACCGGTTCTGCGTCAGATGAAGCTTTAATAGTCTCGGGACTGAAAGCAAAAACATCAGTTAATACAAGAGAGAAGAGCCTAAGGCAATCTCTACCAGTCAACCTATGGGCAGCAGAGACAAAAGAGGCAGGTGTAAAAAGTTTCAAATCAAATTTTAAGTTAATATAAAAGTTATATACATAATGTAATATTTGTTATTTTTGTTTGTATTTTTTTATACTGTAATCTTTTAATAATGTAATATTGTCTGCAGCTTTTTTACTCAATATAAATATCCACAAAATAGAGAAATCAACATGATATTCACTAGACATCCACAACAAACTTAAAAAAATAATATAAACTGTTATATCTCTAGATTGTAATGAAGTAAAAATAAATAGTTTCACCATCAAATCCATTACTTATCTAAATCATGATAGGCGATGAGTTTATCACCGTACGCCGAATACAAATGTGATGCAGTGATTTGATAGAGACAACTAATTGATGACTAACTTAACAAGTTCATTACATTACTTACGAAGCAAGCTTTAATTTCATTTATTGATGTAAATAATGATCAGATGTGGCTAGCTTCTTACAATTAGTACATACTGTATTATTACTGTAACACAGCTACCTAGTGACTATTATAAATTTACCATAGTATTTTATAGCCATGTTCAGTTCAGTGTTATTAATATTTTATAATGGACTCCAAAATCTAAACTACAAACGATACTGATAATTATTCATAAGTAATAAAACTAAATTATTGTAAGTGTATATAAGTCGTTAAATATAGGAATTTTAAACAATCTTTCAAAGTTTGAATTTTCTTTCAGAGACATTGCGCAAGTGGGCACCTGCCTTAATAATGGACCGAACTTGTACGAAGGAATATGAATTGCCACCCCCACATGAAGGAGGAAAACCATACACAGTAAGTCTATTAATTCCCTATCAATACCTATTAAATGTACGCGTATTGATTCAATTTGAAGTATGCATCAACATTTATATATACCTAATAAATTAAGCATGATTAACATGAAAACAAGTATACTAATATATTAATAAATTAAAAAATAATTGACATTTGTACTTAAAGTGAGATTCAGCAAAAATCGTGGCCTTATTTCAATAAATAGCGGCAAAAGCGATTACAAATTTATTATTGCTATTTTTTTTTATTTCTTTACCATAGTTAAAACTGGGTGACGTGGTTTATAACGTAGTAAAGCAATACAATGTAGTTTGGCAAAGCGATTTCAATTTTTTTATTGCTTTTATTTTTATTTCTTTACTATAGTTAAAACCGGGTGATGTGGTTTACAATGTAGTAAACTCTATTCATTTGGATCCAAAATACTATCCAGAACCTGAGATGTTTATACCAGAAAGATTTTTGGAGGAGAGAAAACACGAAATTAAGCCTTTCACATTTATGCCTTTCGGTATAGGCCCTCGGAATTGTATTGGTGAGTTCAATTGAAGCTACATATTTAGAACTACTAAGACTATATCCAAGTTATTTCAGGTGCACCAATTGCTGATGTCACGCAAATTTTATTAAACTCGCATCGTCTCTATCTCATCCTCGATGACTTGCAATTACTATTTTTCACAATTAAAATTTAATATAATCATGCACCAGTCAATGTCATGGTAAACCGTCCGCACCGACTCGTATTCTATAATAGACGAGGAAGGTACAGTAATAAAGCAGAAGCAAACTTAAGGAATTAGTATTTATCAGAAAAAAATCAACTTAAGTCACCTCGATAAAAGTTTTCTCAAAACGAATCATTATTTAAATGAGAATGATATCATATGCCTTTATGGCAGTTTTAAAATATTAAAACAAAACGTACATCGAACGAACATAAAAATTTATATAATACGAAAAGAAAATTTCATGACTTGAACGCTTAAAATAGTGTACAAGATAGACAGATATTGTTTAATGCAATATATTAATTATATAGCAATTATATTTTCTCTTTTCAGGGTTAAGGTTTGCACAGTTGGAGCTAAAGGTGTTAATTTATCACCTAATTTTGAACTTTAAATTACTAAAGTGTGAGAAGACAACGGATCCCATTAAGTTACATCCACACAATTTCAACATTGAAGCCATGGGTGGAACTTGGATAAAGCTTGAAAATAGATGTTAATTATTTACGTGTAGTTACAAGTCATGTCGCGTACAAAGGCGTAAAGGAATTAATTTTATCTATTTTTAAAACGGAATTTTTGAAACTATTTCTGAATACTTGAAGCGAAAATTTATATATGAATGTAGTAATTAGGTTTGTTTTGTTAAAAGATAATGAATAAATGATAATAAATATTTCGGGACATATTTTTACACAATGTTCTCTAGTCCCAAACTATGGAAAGCTTGTACTATGGATACTAGGTACCTGATACACATAAACGTACTTTTCTTTTGTAAAAAAAAATACACATTATAGAAATATAAACACCCAGACATTAGAAAAACACTATATGAAGTAGGGATCGAACCAACACCCTCTGGCGCAACAGACATGGTTGATATCCACTACGCCAGGTCGTTGAATGAATAATGACAATGATAAAATCAATTAGATTTTAAATTATTCGAATATTTGTTGTCTATTCGACGGCGTTCCACAGTGTATACAGAGATATGCATTAGAATATGTTCACCATCAAAAGATTATTATTAATTATTGATTATCTCAAATATTATTAATGTAATGACTAAAAAATTATATGCTCATAATAAGTAAGATAGCATTTATTATTAACATAAACTACTAAATGATTATTGTAATGTTCAAAATCCTATAAAATAACATTTACAAAATATATTAATTATGTGCTTACATTAGTTTACAGGATAGCGATTTCGTGAATTCGAAGATTCGTGTATTCAATTCGTCAAGATTTTAAATTTAAATAAATGAAATATATTAAATAAGCGCGTGTTACAAAATAATTACTAATAAATAGTAAAATCAGTAATAAAATAATTCAGTAAATAGTAAAATTATTCATTAAACAATTAAAAACGTTTAACAGTTCTATATTTACAGCTGTTCGTTCAGTAAAGAAAATGCAATAGAAAAACGGACCATTAAAAATTGTCGACATTTGGCTGGGGAGCTGTAGCATTAAATCACTTAGGTTGTTAGTACGTAATTTGCGAGTTTATTTAATGTTAATTCATTGCTGCCAAGCGCCGATGGCGACCGCGGAATATAAATCCACGTTGTCGGCGCTTTGTTGTGAGACCTATTATAATATAGGTCCTGATTTTCGTTAGGAAACGTTTTGGTGGCTGCGAAAGCATATTTAGTACAGGTCAAGGCGGAGAGAAGCGAATCCCGTATAATATATATAAATATAATATTAATATATGTCTTTTTATATATTTATATTTATTAATATTATATAGGGTAATAATATATATTACCACTGTCATAAATTACTACATCTTCTATAATTAATGAGTTTAATATCAGTAATTTGTATTACTCTTGTTTTCTCTTCATAAAAAAATCAGAAGAAAAAATCAACAGAGAATTTTTTAGGGAAGATGTAAATTAGAAAATCTTTAATTATTTTGGATGTTAAATTTACAACTACAAACTAGTACTATTAACACAATCAAAATATTTTCTTATTTTGTGTCATAAATTTTATGTTATATAATATTTTATATCAGCAAATAAATCGTTTGTCCTATTTCCTTTATAAGCAATTTCCTCATAATAACACAACCAATACAATTTGCTGGCCGCTTCCTACGAACGAGAACTTTCTGCTCGAAACGGTAGCTAAAGGCGAGATAACGCCGTTGACCTCGTAAAATTTTATTTTACAGTTTTATAAACTTGACCAAAGTTGCCTCCAAGGTGGAAGTGAAGTTTTGAAAATTCCCTTCACTACCATCTTTCTAATGTAGCCAACCGGGCTAGGAATGTCACATTTTAACTTTGTTTGTAAATAACTAAGGGTGTTGTTTAAAGTTAAAATAGAGACTACAACGATGAAGTCAATATTTGAGGAAATTGATAAAAACGACAAAACTGTCAAAATAACTGCGCATATGAATAAAACTATCAATTTCAGTCTTTTCAGAGTTGGAAATTAAAAGTTATACACATATAATTTTCAAGGATTTAAAAGAGTACAAGAGTTTAAAGGAGTATATTTGGGTACTTAAGAATTAAAAAAGCCACTTGTTTATATGGCATATTATTAATTTACGGCATACTTCTTTTGTGATTCATTATCTAGCATCAGGCACTGTCTCTGCCTATTCCGTAAGGATAAAAAAAGGTTGCTTAAAATATTTACCTAATATATTTAAATGAATGAAAAGAAAGATGTATAATGGTTATTTTTACAGTCAAATGTTTGAATTTGTGAGAAATATGTTAGGATTATTTAGACACTAACAACAGTTAAGGACCCAAACCTTTTACTAAATAAAAATTAAAAAAAATTAAACAGAAGAAAAAAATATTAAACACACGGGTGACGTCGCGGATGGCTCGACTATTAATATTGCGTTGCTAATTTTTTTAAAGGTGCAACAATTTATTTTTATTGTTATAATAAATAAGATTTTCTGGAAAATTTACTTTTTCGCATGTCTTTTTTGTCATGGGTTGTAAAGAGTACACAGTTACCTCATTCTGCAAGTTCGTTTGGTTGCAAAGTTCGTATTATTAACAGAGACTTATATTGAAGAGAACTCGAATTTGTCTTGAAAATATGTGAGTAACAAGCTAAGTTGGCTACCACGTCTGCAAACTTCGTAATTCAGCTCTCGGTATCTCTAAGAATATTAAAGAAACTTCTTATAACTTACCTCTCATTGTAATATGCTGTGTTATAAGTAAATATGAACTTAATCAGTAAGTCTTACTAATACAGTAACCACAAAAAATACAAAAAATGCCAAAAAAGGAACCTATTAAAGAATTTTCAGGTTAGATAGAAGTATGTACATTCTTCTCACTCAACCCTACTTGTACTAAAAGTGTTTACTAGTAAACTCTACTATTAAATTTGGTGTGACGTTTAACACATAATTCTATAATTAAAGGATATAACACGAGAATTTGACTCATTGCAAATATAATAAATTTATGTTATCACAATAGTTTTAGATACAACAATACAGAGGGAGCCCGAATCAATCGAGCGACGAAATAACAGGTAAATTGGTTAATAATAATTCAAAAAATTATTTCATGAGTTTCACATATAGGTGCCGAATGACACCGGTAATTTTATTTCTGTCAAAATTGTATCTATAAATTTCCCATTCTTAAAATAAATAAATATTGGATGGTAATCAAAAACCCCGGTAAACACATCTGCGTGCCTAGTGAAAAGCTTGATGTCAGGTCATGTCGGCACGTACCTATCGCTGACATGGCCTACTATTGCAGTTTTCTTACTCTGCAGTGGTAATTGTGTATTTGGAGACGCACACTAACCACTGCACACGCTCTTTTTTGTTATTTTTTATGATGTGTCATATTAATTAATATGTAATTTTACGTCGTCGTTGTTCTGTGGATATGTTTGACGTCATCATGTTTATTCATGTGTTATGTTTATGGTAAGTATAAAAAGTAGAATAAAGCGACATCCTGTATATTATGTCCCACTCGTGGGGCCAGTCCTTCTCCATGCAAAGAATATCAAGTATGCAGTAATAATGCAGGTAATAAACATAATCCACCATGCGACCCTACTGCGAATTGGCAGACTTCACATATATTCGAAATGGTTTTTAGTTTTTTTATTTTCGAAATACGAGAATGCAGGTTTCCTCACGATGTTTGTTTTCCTTCACCGTTGAGTGCGTGATCAGTCAGCACTTAAAATTGCAACAATTATATTATTGCAATATTCCATTAAATGTTTTAAATTTGTTTACTATACGTTGACATTGAATGAGCCAGTACTTCTAGCTTATGTTTCAGAAAACGTGAGTTTACGTTACTAGAATATATGAATTATTTGCCGCAATACGGAATTTTTATTTTAAAGGACTGATAATGTTTTTATTATTCAATACTTTTTAAAATTATGAAAAGTTTTTCTATTTCCTTACAAACTTGAGTACAGTCATAATAGTTACTTGAGTACAGTTAATGATTAACTGGAATTTCTTAGTCATCATCAGACTTAAATAAATGTTCAGTAATTCATACGATTGTTCATCAACTTGATTCTATAATCCAGCGTGAAAATAATTTTACCTAAAAAGAATGTATCGCATACGAATACTCTATTATAATATTCTAGCGAACCGCCTCGGCTTCGCACGTAAATATATATATTCTAGATTATCCGTAAGGAATTTATTTTTTAAAAAGAACATTTATAAAACAAAAGGAACATAATCTCTGCACACAATATTATTTTCTTAGCGATTAAGAATAATAACAAATCACGTTTACACTTCAACTACTGATCGCCGGTTCCCCAGAGCGTAGCTCCGCACGACTTTTTATAGGCAACTTCAATAATTTAACACCCATACTATTAATCGTCTATACTCCTATACTAATAATCTTCTATTATATATATATATATATATATATATATATATGTAAAGAAAAATACTATTTTCTTTTATTTAAATATTTTCTTTAATTTAAATATTTTCGCGCACCGGCCGTTGATAAAATTTATTTTAAAAACTATGTTTGTACGCCGGATTATAACAGAAAAAGAATTAAGCTGTCATATGAAGCAATTCATGAAAATAATCTGATTACAAAGATATTTAATAAGTAAAATAGTGATTTAGGAATCGACATTGTGATTATTAACATTAAATGTCGTTTCTTTAATTACAGGTAAAGTTTAATAGTAAAATCTTTTATTTTTGTTATTTTAATTATTATTTGTTATAGTTTCAAAATCTTACAAAAAATCTTTAATTACAGAGAAACTCAATTGTGTTTTGATTGCTGTGTCATCCTAAACACTGAAAAATATTCTTATATATATATATATATATATATATATATAATAAGGTAGGTATATATATATATATATATATATATTAGCGATATACAAATATACCTACAGGTCTGTGAATCGCAAATAATAATCTCTAATGTATAAATTTCAATATAATCCACACCAGTTTTGGCTGTGTTCATGTATTGGTCATCGAACAAATGAGTAACTTTTGATAAAATATAAAGGCTACATTGTTTGAAAGATTTTTGAGGTCCACTGATTCCAAACTGCAGGGAAGTATATTTTACGAAACGAAAAAGTATTGTTAGATATCTCGTAACATTAGAATTACTCATTGATTAGCACTCAGCGAGTAAAAAAAAATAGAAAAGAAATGACACGCCCATAATTTACGCGAAGAAAATTATGATAAGACAACACTTAAAGTTGTTTGAGCGTTTCCTTACGTTCAGTTCCTTTTAGCGTTTACAGGGAAACGAGGTTCAAAAACAACGAAGTAGAAAATTACAAACACTGTAGCTGTTTGAATGTTTTTCCTAGATTTTTTCGGATCATCTGTAATAGGAGCTTTCTTTAACAAACGAGCAAGTGAAATAAAAAAGGCAAATTATATTTCGACACAAAATAATTGAAACATCATGAATAATGTATTTCACACGATATAACAATGGAAAAGCAACTCAATGGTAATCAACGCATTGTCGTTCCTTATCGCGAGAGAGTTGAGAGAGACAATGAACGGCGAGGTGCACTATTGTCCCGTCACTTGTGAATCTTAAAGCTTCTTGGAAAGTACATGCAGTGAAATATCAACCGGTGACAATTTGATCAAACAAACCAAATCGTCACAAATCCATAAGAGTTCTAATAAGGTAGGTATATATATATATGTATATATATATATATATATATATATATATATATATATATATATTAGCGATATACAAATATACCTACAGGTCTGTGAATCGCAAATAATAATCTCTAATGTATAAATTTCAATATAATCCACACCAGTTTTGGCTGTGTTCATGTATTGGTCATCGAACAAATGAGTAACTTTTGATAAAATATAAAGGCTACATTGTTTGAAAGATTTTTGAGGTCCACTGATTCCAAACTGCAGGGAAGTATATTTTACGAAACGAAAA